AACTTTTCATGATCTTAGACAATGCCCTACTGGTATATTCTTCTCACTGGTTCCCAAACTCAATCTGGAACCTCAGATTTAACAAGTACTATCTTAATCTCTCTCCCATCCCACCCCCACTCGTCTCCCCCTGTGGTCTGCTTTTTTCATACACAAGAGATGAATTACTTTGGGGATCTAATTGGCCTTGTTTCTGCAATGTTTTTTGAAAAGGAAGAGGTGCCAGTGTAAAAGCCTGTCTCAACATGGGTGGTCAGGGCTGAGGCTGCCCCCAATTTGCCTCATTGCTGATGCATGCGAGTGCTACATTCCCAGTGATAATGTTGTTCTTAATCAATCTGCCCTTATTTACATTTGTAAGCATTGTTGGCTTTAATATGCATGCCCTGTGCATGTAACTGCTGCTCGACACCAGGTTTTGTTAACTTCAACTAATCACAAGGATCCCACAGACCTGATATGGAACTGGTTTGGATGAACAGGGCCTGCTAAGGTGTCTGTTGGTGAGGATCCTTAAATAGCCTTTATTCCTTAGCTTCCCTTGTAGATTTATCAAACATATGATCACTTGAGACTTTGTGGACTGGCAGAACTTTTCAGATACATGAAGGAACATCTGATTTACCTCCTTTAATATTCCTTTTAGACCACATTTCAATACATAGGTTAACTTTTCTGCCCTTGTGGTCCAAAGACTTCATACAATCCAGTCCTCTAGTTCTCCACTTAAATTCTGTGAACTCTGAAGAATCCCTCCTTGTGTTTCATTCCCCCTTACTCTGTTCCAACACTTTAACTTCCCATGGCCCTACAACACAGTTTGGAAATCTACATTTGATTATCCAAATGCAATATGACATGGACAAAAAACATCTGGCCTCTATGTTTGAATATTACAGAGGGAAGTGAGCAAAGCAAGATACAGTTAAATGGAAGAACAGAACAGAGTATGATTATGAACAACCAAACGACCTTCCAATTATCTTTTGGAATGTTATTCATTCCTCACTACCTCCTTGAATGTTCAATGTAACCCTTGGACTTCAATACTTAATAAAATGGGGTTTGTATGATACCATAAGATACCTTTTGTATAATGCTATCCATGCAAGCATCCTATGAATAAGTATGCCCATGCATTTATCTTATAATTCACAATTTTCAGCCTGTATTTATTTTGCTTAATTTCAACTATCTCTAACTTAATAAAATTCAATAGTAATAATTTGCTTTTTATATTGCACTTATTTTTCAGAAGTGCAAAGAACTTTTGACATAGCACACTAATCCTTATAATATTACCCTCAGTTTCGTAGGGAATAGTAATATCATCATTTCTATTTATAGATGGTAAAACTGAAATACAAAGGTCCAGTGAGTTGCCAAAGGACATAAAATAAGTTTAGGTGCTGAGACAGCACAAATAGATCCCAGGAGTCCTGACAATCTAGAGTTCCACTATTCACTGCCTTTCTTGCTCCTTAACAATGCCATATTATCTCCTTATAAATGTTTGTGTATTTCCTTACAAGTTCTCTTGAAAGAATTGAAAGGTGGAGCCTAGAGACAGAAATTAGACAATATGATTCTAAAAAGTTTCAGGGTTGAGAAAAGAAAGTATTCAGCTGCAATAGAATCTCAAGACACTGGGCTTGACCTCCTCCCTCCCCCACTCTCTTTCCCTCTCTCTGTTCCTCCACTTACCCCCTCCCCTTCTCCCCCTGCTCAGGGTTGTAAGAAAGGGAACAGCTCGACCCAACTTGTCAAAATAATGCTGCTAATTACCCCTGATCTCCTTTAATGGGAAGCTGCCCCAAACTCTACAAAGGAGTAAAAGAGAGATCTACAGCACAAACCCAGAAGCTCTGGCATTTATTGAGCTCACAGAGAGGGGTGGGGGGGACATAAATATCCCACCAGTACCCCAGATATCTCCACATCCATCAGACCAAGGTCATTAGTGAAGGCACCCCAAATGTTAAACTGCAGTGGGAATTATACTTCCTGCAAGTAGGCATAATAGCAGGGAATTCAAGACTGCTGAGGAGCTCATCAGCTGCAATAAGGCTTGTCCACAAATCATTTTTGAATATAGCACAGAAATGATTGTGGTGTGGGTGTTTTTTTCCTTGCTAAATATCTTTCTGACTCTATTATGTTGATGCATTTGGAGTCATTGTTGAATGCAAGCAGAACAATATCTCTATAGATAGAGACATTGAAATTGATCTATGTATAGATGTTTATATAGCTATCTATAATCTATATGTACATACTTGTACATGTATGTATATATACCCACATCTATCTGTCTATCTATCTATCTATCTATCTATCTATCTATCTATCTATCTATCT